CCCACACTGGGGTGCTGATGGCTGAAGGCACACGCTCAGCTTTCCTGGGAGCTGTGTTTGATTGCTGCACTCAGTTAGTCACTTCCCCACCCCCATGCTTTATTTATAATCCCAGTTTTCTCCACGAGTCACGACAAGGTTGTAGCCAAAAGCTGGGGAGAGGAGGGATGATTCACGGATAACCCCCTCTCCTGTTCTGTGTCCCGAGAACTTGGGGAACCTGAAAGCAAAGCAGTTCTGAACTAATGCAACAGCTCATGCTGGAGCTGTAGAGCGATAAATTACCTGGCCTGTCCCTTCTCCTTCCCTCCGGTGGCTCTGGCACCGGCGTGCTATGATTAATATGGGCATTGCAAGTAATATTAAGCACAGTGGAAGGTTTCCATGAGCCAAAGGCTACTTGGGGCCATTTCATGTGCTGGAATGAGGGCTGTTAGGGAAAATGTGGGCATTGCCATTTCATAAAATGCGTGAAGAGCTGGCTCTAAGGGAAGACACATCTCCCTCCTTTAAGAGGAGGCCCCAGAAAGGCAATGCGCTGTTTTCCCAACACCTTTTTGTGCCTAATGCTGAAGTTCTTGAGCTGTTGCAGAAAACAGGAATATTTAGGCCCTCTCAGTGCAATAGTTAAGAATAGCCTCACAGTTTACTTATCTTCATACAAACCTTTTAATATACCCAGTCATTTTGCAGCAGATGGGAAACAGGTATGGAGGAGACCCAAGCAGCTGGCCCAAGGTCATAGGGAACGCTGCAACAGAGCCGGAGCTGAGTCCAGGTCTGCAGATCCTGAGCCAGATCCCCAGTGACTGGGTGACGTCCTCACTTAGCGAGCAATGAGAGGTTACACACTGAGAGCCAAGCCATGTCCTGGGCTATCCTCACCCCTATCTGCTGACAGAGAAGGTCTCCAAATTGCTGCTGAGGGCTGAGATCTGTCCTTATGGATGCTGAGCTTAACCCTGAGCTGGGATCTCAGTAGGAACAAGGGGGGCTCAGCATCTCTGTCAGTGATAGCCAGGATTTCGCTTTGTATAGCAACATCTATGCTAGGGAGAGCTGGTGGAGCTGGTCATCTTGCAGCATGCATGAGTATATATGAATATGTGGATATGTAACCTACCTCCCACATACTGAGAGGGAGCTCAGTGCCATGGCTCTGCTGAGAGCCCTCCCTGCTCGCACTTGTGATGCTCCCAATCAATACATGTTTAGACAGCATTTCCCTGTTAATTTTTGTTTGGTGGCCTTTGCAGGGAGTGCAACGAGGTGCTTGTACAAACACAGCAGGGCAGAAGAGGGGGCACATCCTGCTTCACTCATCACCAGCCTGGAAACACTTTGTGGAGGGGAGGCTCTCTAAGGGGCTCCCCAGCACTGATGTGGGGAGCCCCCAGACCCAAGCAATGCCATTTGCAAACCCATAAGGCTGTTCCAATGAGGGCTGTCTCTTTTCTTACAACCACTTCATGAAACAGATGCTTGAGTTGTTCCTTCAGCTAGAAGGTAACTGCTAATTAGTTTTGTATACAGCATAAGCCTGCGCTCCACATGGCATACTTCATGTCAGCAAAGGAACCCTAGCAGGGACTTTATCTGTTTGCTGTCCTCCCCCAGTATTCAGGAGAGAAACAAGAGTTCCATCACCAGCTCTGCCTTCCTGTTCTTATCATTCCTCTCTTAAAAATGAAGTCATGGATCCCATTGGGATGAAATGGGGTGTTTGGAGAAGGGAACCAGATGCTTCTCCCTAGCTGGGCTCACCTTCTTCCCATGAGGGCTGCATGGCTGCTGGGAAGCTCCACATGTACGTGGTGGCTGCATGGCAGGGTTGTTTCCTTTCATCAGGGCCCCTTGGCCACTTGGGGATTGCACATGTAGGGGAGGAACACAACGCATGGCCCATTTGAAGTCTTCTTTATACATATTCAATTCCCCTTGACGCAATGGGCAACGCAGCAAAGCAGCCCCTCATGGTCTTGCATGCCAGTAATTTGCAGATTAAAACTCCTCCAATGTGCATCTCCACAATGGACCCTGCCTTGTCTGGGATGGGGCTGTGGAACCTTTGTGGTGATAATCTGGGAATTAAGAGGCTTTAATAAAAAGATGTGACATGACAGGTCATAGGAAGAGAAAAGAACCAAATCTGTTACTCCCAAATGGCTTAATCCTGTGTGAGTGGAGATCCTCGCTCCAAGGGTGCCAGTGGGATTCAGGGATGCTCAGCACCTTGCTCCCAGAGCTTGTGATCCCCTAGGACAGGGCTAATTGTGTTATGAGTTTGCTGTTCTCAGTGTGCCCCATAGAACCAACCTGTGGGGACTCCACTGCTTTGTGGAGCTCTTCTTAAGTACGCACCACCCCAGGGCTTGCTGCCCTTAGCCCTTGTCTGCAGGGGACCCATGCTCCATCCTGGGCTGGCTGCATGCTGGCCTTGGCCATGATCCTCCCTCTGCTCCCAGCTCATTCCAGAGAGGACTCCGGACCCCACACACTGAGCGTAAGCCCATGCACATTAATTACACTTGGGTTCCTTGTGAAAATCCAGCAGCAATCCTCACCCAGTACTTGTCTCTAAACAAACTGTTAATATTTTAAGTGTCTTTCATGAACTGGAGCCTAATTAATTAAAGGTTTATGAAAAACAATTAGGTTTTGATAGGGATCACCTTCTCCCGAGTCCCATGTCTGCCCAGGAGAAAGAGAGGGGTTAGAAAGGCTCAGGTTGAAATTTAGAACTGCAGTGAATAAGAGAATGCACAAATCCCACATGGATTGGGGAAATTAGGACATTTGGTGCCAGATTGTCTGACTAATTAGATTTCTATCAAGTCCTGAGGGACTGGCTGATGCAGCATTTTAATTTAAAGCTGCAGCAGCAGCAGCTTTTCTCCTTCTCAAGCTCTTTATCACGTTGTCTGCGTTCCCAACATGCAGCCGGTTTCCTTCCCAGCGCTGCACCTCTGCAAGGCTCAAACCTTCTTGCTCTGCGTTTGACAGCATGGCTTTGCTGTTAGGTTTCGTTGGAATGGGAAGACAGCCCTCTCTGTCTGCAAGGGGCTTTTCCCATGACATGAGGCACGGCGTTCCGTGACAGGCGCGTGAGATGGGGACAAGCTGAGGTGTCTCTGAGCTACCCAGTGCACCGGCTAGGCTTGATCATTGAGAGCATCTTCACAATGGGTGTGTTAGGCAGGAAAGCAGAGAAGAAAACAGCCCATCTGCTCCCTGAACCTGCTCACTGGGCACCAAGGGCGTAGCTTTGCGTTTCAGGATGGAACACTGGCAATTTCTTGCAGTTAGTTCATTTCCAGCCTGAACTCTGGAATGAGGACCGGTGCTGGATCGACTGCTCCCTGCAGGGTGAATAGAACAGCACCTCTTTCAGTTATATCCATTTAAAATATGGTGATGCAGTTGTGCTGCATCAGGGCTGGGAAACAGAGCAGCTTGGTGGCAAAGCTGTGCAGTGAGTACGAGCCTGAGGTCCCCATCCCTAAACTGTGTTGCTCAGGCACCTAATTTAGAGCAGGCATCTAACTTTTAAATCCCTGAAGTTGCAGGGCCTGAGCTCAGGTTTATTGTATATGGAGCAATGCACAAATGGATTCAAAATGGCAAAAGTGTCAGATTCCTACTTAATAGGCACCAAAATTTAATGCTAATTGCTCCAAAATTAGTTAGAATTATTGAAACAGAATAAGAGGAGTTTTTAAAGCCATTTCTTACTTGACAGGACAAGATTGCAAATATCCCCCTGTCCTATTCAATGAAAACTTATGATGCTCTTACTGCTATTTTATATGATGGATACATAATTAACAGGGTCTATGGAATTATTTCTTCTCCCATTTTGCTCTATTTCTTCCAGATTATTTTATCAAAAAAAAGAAAAAAAAAGAGATAATAGAATTATATCTTCTGCTTCAATGAAACTGAAAACTATTATTCCTCTCGATAACCAAACCCAGCAAAGTCACCCATTCCAGTGAATATTAAACACAAAAAGTACCTTTCAGATGTATTATGGATCTGCTGCTTAGCAGTCTTTGACTCATTGCTTTGTGAGGAGAAGTTCGGCAGCAAAGAGAGCGAAAATGAAATCACTGCCTCTGAAGACATTGAATTTCCCAGCGTTCATTGATTGAAAGCAGGACTATAACATTATTGAGATGGTTCCACTTAACCTCATTTTCCTGTTATTATTTTGTTATGCTTTTTGGGGAAGGTTATAGAATACTTATTTACTCCTGTCGCTGATCCCTAGGTGCTAAACATGATTTAACCCCACTGTGTTTCAGCCGGATGCAGGATGCAAACGGTAACAGGAGCCTGGCCAGGACCAACAGCCCTGTTTGTGGCCTGATGATTTCCATTTACAGGGTATGTGTTAAAGAGGGAAAAGGGCAGCTATTACTGTAAAAGCATTAAGAGACCTAGTGATGGATGAGATCCCACTGACCTGGGTAATAAAGAAGCATGGAACAAAAAGGACATTTCTAGCCTCCAAGTGCCCAGAGCCGGCGGGCTTAGAAAGGTGCCATAAGCACCACGATGAGAGCAAATGAGTTTGAGCTCCCATGAAAGTAAAGCTCTTATTTAGGATCCTAAGAGGGATGCAGGATTCTCAGAAAGGTGAAGTCCCTAATTCTCTCACTTAGATTGGTGGACCTATAAAGGGCTCCAATAGTTCTGTGCTGGTGCTTTTTCATCCTTAGAAGTTTTGGAACAGATAGAAAAATGCGGAATGCTGCTTCTAAAACACACTTTCAGAAAGCTGCTTCTGCAGAGAGATTTCCCCCCCCCCTTGCTCTCCTTCTGTTTCTCTCCCCCCCATAGAGAAATAGACAAAACTTCCAATGTATTTGGATTACCTAGAAATTAATTGTCTTTCTTTTCCTTTTCCTTTCACTGAAAGAAAACAGAAGAATGGCACAGGCCATTGTTTTGCATCAATGATGCTGTTTTATTTCCCTTTCTTTTGTTTTAAATCCCAGGTTATTTCCAAATGAGATTGGGGCGCATCCAGACAACAGCTTCTCTCATTGGAAGGCAGTCATTGGGAATGTGAGGGAGGGATATGCCACTTGTCCTCATGGGTCGTTGGATCTAGTCTGCAGTTCCAATGGCTAAAGTTACACAGAGAAACCCCCTAGCTGGAGGCCTGAAATCAGAAAAGGAAAAGGTATTGGGTTGAAAATCATCAAAATGAGGCAATTTTGACTTTTCCCACATATAATTCCTGCTTGTAATAAGGAATTAACCTGTGAAAAATTGGCTGCATTAACCTGTGAAAAATTGGCTGTGGCTCTGCTGGGATTAATGTGGTTTTGGAAATAAACCAGTGATCTGCACACGCATTTGTTTTGATTTGTAATGTGCAGATTGGGAAAATATCGTTGTGAGTGACCATGATAGATGTTATTCATATCATTCGGTGAATAACGCTGTGATGAACGAGTTGAGGATCGCTTCCAGTGTAATAGAACAAGTCAAGCCTGAAGTTTTGAAGCCAGAAAGTCTTGTTTCAGTGATTTCCAAAAGCAAATAGTTTTGTTTCTAATGCAGACATTTCCAGGATTCCCCTCTCCTGATTTGAGCTGGATAAGTTAACCTGGGACAGTTCCAGGAGGGAAGGACACAGGAGACTGGGGAATACTTGCACCTGGAGCTATTGATAGTGGTTGGATCTGAGCTGTCACCGTGGCCAGATGGCCAACAGCATCCTGGCCTGTGTCAGCAATAATGTGGCCACCAGGACCAAGGCAGTGATGGTCCCCCTGTACTGGGCAATGGTGAGGCTGCACCTTGAATCCTGTGTTCAATTTTGGGTCCTTCACTACAGGAAAAGACATTGAGGTGCTGCAGGAGATCCAGAGAAGGGGAAGGGACAAGAGGAGGCAGCCTCAAGTTGTACCAGGGGAGGTTTAGATTGGATATTAGGAACATTTCTTCCAAAAGAGGTTGTCCAGCATTGGAACAGGCTGCCCAGGGCAGTGGAGGCATTACTGTCCCTTGGGGTATTTAAAGGATGCGTAGATGTGGCGCTTGGGACATGGTTTAATGGTAGATTTGGCAGTGCTGGGTTAATGGTTGGACTCAATGATCTTAAAGGTCCTTTCCAACCTAACCAATTCTATGATTCTGTGATTCTAATTAGTCTCATTTGCTGACACACAAGCCTTTAATTGCAAGTTGAATAATTAGACATATCTGCATATGCAAATGAATAGGGTTATACTATGTCACTCAACATGATTTCTCTGGAGACAAATAGCTCTCTATATTTCAGGAGAGAATATGATATATTAATTTATGTAGACAAATAACTTTATTTAGAATGAGCCGCTCTCATGTTTGTTTATATAAAGCAATAAGAGAAGAAATAGGAGAGATTTTTATGTGGAAGGAAACAGCTGGAAGATACTAATTTATGAGGGGGAAATCCTTGAGAGCCGCAATGCTTTTCTGGGATGAGTGATGGGAGGAAGGGCGCATCCCAGGCAGCATCCCGCAGCACACGGGATGCTGCAGCAACCACATCCTGCATCCCTCCCGCACATCCCACCGCCCCGACCGCCTTCCTTCTCCCCGGCATCTCTGCGTGTCCCCCTCTTTTCCTCCCCGCTGGCGGACACATGTCGTGATGCTGAAGCCGTTTGGCCTCTTGTTTTCCAACCAGATGGCCGCTGCAGCGAGCCATGGGGCTGCAGTTTCGGGCGGGTGCATGCCGGGAGACGCGGCCCTGCTCCGCCTGGATGCGAGGTGAATCCTGATCAGGCTGCGGGAAGGGGGATGCTGGCGCAGGCACCCGCTTTGCGCCAGGGCACGGAGCAGCCGCTCGCAGCGCATCGGCCGGCTCCTAGCGCCCAGGAGGTGGCACTGGGATGATTCCGCATCCCCGGTGCAGAGGGAATTCCTACGGCGGGGTGCGGGGATGCTCCGAGTCGCTTCTTCCGTTCAAACAAAGCGGTAAACCCCACTTTGCTGCCCCGCTCCCGCCATGGCTCTGCCCCATCTCCGGATGAGCCCCACCGGTCCCTCCGGTCGTGCCCCCCCCCCCCCTCCCCCTCCCCCCCCCCGCCGTTACCGCGGCAACCGCGGCCCGGGCCCGCTGCAGGGAGCGGGTGGCGCCGGCAGGGGGCAGCACCAGCCCGAGCCTGCCCGGGGCGGAGGGGGGGGCACGGGACGGGATGGGAACAGGGATGGGGACAGGACGGGAGCGGGATAAGGACGGGAGAAGTGCGGGCAGCATCTAGAGAGGGTGCGGGCTGAGTGTGGGCAGGGATCGGGCAGGCAGCGGGCTGACCGCAGGCTTTGCCCAGGCTGATGACAGGCAGGGTGCCGGACACCCACTTCCATTCCCAGAGCCTGATCCCCCACCTCAACCACCAGCATTCCTGCCTGGCTCCCCTGCGCAGTGAAGCACCACGCCAGGGCCTGGAGCAACACAGGTCCTGATTTCTATTTGCATCCACATCCCACTTGTGCCAGGTGCAGTGTCCCTGCTTGTGATGGTCGTGGCAGTGGAAGGACCATCATATGGTGCTGGCTGGGAAAGGCTGCACTTTCCCATGTTCTCCATGCAGCAAACCGGGGGTTATGGACAGTATTCCCACCCTGACCTCGTATCCCGGCAAGGAAGCCTAAATCATGCTCAGGGTTTCTGAAACAAGCCTGAGTCATTGACTTGGCAGACTCCAATGATGCAACCTGCTTCCTGTCATTTCCAACTTCCTCTTACATCCTGGTTTTGGAACTTTTTAATTCAAGTATCACAGCCTCAATTTATCCATCACCGCACAGCAAGGGGAGCTCACAGGAAGACCTCTGTGCCTCTGGTCCATCCCTCTGCCCAGCTCAGGGAATGGTCGTATCAGCCCGACTCTAATGTGAAATAACTGAGCTCCTTCAAGATGTTCATGGATTAACTGGATGGGGGTTAACTCACTTTTTACCAGTCAAATACAGCTAAGGGCTAAGGAAAGTTGCGGTAAACACCTGCATCCTTATGATAGCCCATTCATCACCCTTGATGCTCTAAAAGCAGCATTTGTTTAATCTAACTCATGCTTTGCAATAAGAGGAAGATGGGAAAATGGCTGTTAAGGCACCTCTGGAGCAGGTTCTCTGAGCAAATTACCCATGGGTCTCAATAAGGTGCTGTGTGATGCCTCAAAGTTATGGGATTTCCCTAGCCCAAAACCTCCCCAAGCCCACCCCAAGGCTACATCACAGTTGCATTAATTTGCCTCAACAATCAGCTCGAGATGAGCCTTTCCCCACTGCATTATTATTATTATCGTTATAATTATTGTGGTTATATTATTATTATTATTTATTATTACTATTGCTACTACTACTACTATATTACTACCACTATTATTATTGACTATTTCTACCCAGCAGCACTGGGAGCTGTATCCAGCCCTAGTCTCTTCAGTGCAATCAAATCCTCTCACTGTTGCAGCGGGGTTTTCGTGTAAAAGAAGCTCCATGAGACAGATCCCTCGCTCCAGAAGCTGTTTCCCACAGGGGTGGATGTGTGCTGGGAACCCCCCTGCATTTCTCACTGTGATTTAGGGGGTGGCAGGGGGCCCCAGCCCTGTTGCTGTGCACCCCCAGCAGCAACATCCTGACAGCAAACTCCTCTGTGTTGATGGAGTTATGCAGGTTCGTTCCTGTAGCCCTTCCTGGGACAGTTCAATCGCATGCTCATGTTTTTCCAATGGCACCCGAGTTCCTACAGGCTTCCCCCCTGTGCCTGCTGACACGTCTGTACGTGTATTTCTGTGTACATGCACCTAAGCACGGTGTTTTGGGGAAAGCTGGCGTCACGGTGTCACGACGCTTTGCTAAACCCCATCAAGTTGTCATTCCTGTTAATGCCTTCCTAATCCCAGTGACTCGGTGAAGAGAGATCAAACCACATCCTTGGCTTCGGGAAAGCCGTGGAGCTCTTTTCCCTAAGTCATTGGCTTTATTCTTCCTACCTGGGTGCAGCATTTTAAGGCAGTTTGCAGCTTGGCATCACCCTTTTTATTCTTTCTAACAGTTTCTTTGCCTCGTGACAACACAGCACAAACGGGTCCAAGGAACAGATGAATTTCCTCAGCTATGAAATAAGTAAAGCAGATGATTGAGTACAGTTCCTTTCCCCAGCCTGCTTCAGCAGCTCTGTCTCCCTGTATTACATTCCCTAACTTCTGGCCTCAGCAACTCTCCCACCCGGATCTGTGCCCCAACCCAAGCGGGTAATGCTGTTGGGATCCTTCTGCCATGGCAAACCCGACCCTGTCACACAGGGCCAAGCACTGCTCTCAATTCCCAGGGTTAATCTGGAATAAATCCCTGGGATTAACTGGATTTAACCCTGCTCTGGCTGAGTGGCTGTGTGCAGCTTGACCCTGGGGTCTGCTGGGCTTTGTGTCCTTGCCAGGAACCATGGGCTGGATAGAGAGAGATGCTTCCAGAAAAGACCAATAAACCATTCCATGCTCTGTAGGGAATGGCAGGTCAATCACCTCCTGGCTGGAGGCTGGAGATCCATCCAAAACAGAGCCTGCTTTGCAAGCGGGTAGACCTGAAAGCCGACCACCAACCCATTTCCCATCCATTAAGCCATCCTTAAAAATCCCAATCTCCCTTTCTCCCTCCCTGGCTGTGCTGAGAGCTTTCCTGCACAGTTTATTAGGGTTTATTTTATTCCCATTCTCTCTGATGTCCTCACCAGAGCATTTGCCCTTTGGAACAGGGGTTTAGGTAGCTGCGACCATCACATGTGGGGTCTTCCCTGCTCTGCCTTTCTCTTCTCGGGGTGAGCACACAGGGTTCTGTTTCTGTGGGTTTCTTTTGGGAGCCTGTGTGAAACATTCCAGCCTGTTGTTTGGCCAAAACCAGGCTGAGAAGCCTGTGTGAGGAAGATGCCTATTGCCATGGTTTTCCTACCTGCTGGGTATTGTCCTGGCCTGATGTGAACCAGAGGAGGTTCTGTCTCCCCAGGACTTGGGAGAGGAGCTCATCCTGCCCCTGACTCTGCATCTTCCTGAAACCCTTTTCATGTCCATCCTCACATGAGGATGTTGGGAAGGATGAAGTGCAGCGCTAGGATGACTCCGCTCTGGCCTTGGATAGGCACGATGTGTGAGGATGTGGTCCCTGCCTCATGCACACCCCACTGCTGCTTCCTTCCAGTTTGCATCTTGACCTGATACTTCCCTGCCAGGCTTGCAATGGAGTGAGTCCCCTTTTCCTCTCCCTTGTGTGTAACCATGGG